CTCCCCTCTCTCTCTTCTTTGAAGTGGCGAATCCCAGGAAGGAATCTAAGACTGCCGGCTTAATAACCGAGCTACGTCCCCCTCCGCGCTCCCTCCTCCCCTTCCCCCTTGTCTCCCTCCTCCTGCCTCCTGCCTCCCCCCTCTCCCCCTCTTCCCCTCTCTGCTCTTCGCACTCTCCCTCTCCAAAGTTAATGCCTTTCGCCCTTCCCCCCTCCTCCCCCCCTCTGACAAAGGTGTAGACTCACCGTTGAGAAACCAAATACATAAAACTTATTATAAAAGTGTGTGGGTCTAGTACTTGATTCTGTTTTTCTTTTTTTTTTTCTCTTCATGTGGGATCAATCTGAAATTCTTAGTCACTGTGTCAAGGTGTAAAAAGAGTGGTAAGAAGAACACCATCATAGATCTGGTCAGATACATCTGCACCTTGTGCCCATCAATCTGTATGGACTTACGTGACTTTCCTTGTTCCCTTTCTTTCTCTTTTGAAAAATGCTAGCTGCCTTCTCCTCATATGGGGGGACAGCTGCATTTACTATGCTATTTTCTTCTCTCGTTCTTTTAATATGTTTCCTCTCACCCTAGCTACATCGGGCTGTGTACTCAAACTGGTCTACCCGCCTTCCGGACCTGCAATTGGCACAGCTCCCCAACCAGCAAGGGACCCAGCTCCCCTTCGAAGCTCAATTACAGGGTGCAGGATCAGAGACTACAGCAGGAATGGGATGCCAAGGGTTCTATTTATGGTGAAAGAGCAACTTCCACTAAGGGTTATGGGTCTAGGGTTTGGGCTTCCCTAGCTCTTCTATGTGTAGGGAGCAGGTCCCAAGATCCTAACACCTCGCGTGCGCTGGAAGGATGCATGACTCTCCCACCAACCAGCCAGGAGGTGCAAGCCAACTATCTTTGCCGGTGAACCCACAGCACGCTGTACGTGACTTTCCCTGTTCCGTTTCTTGTTCCTTTTGGCGTTTGGCTTTTTGACCCGCAGGCGGCAGGAAATGCTGTTGTTGGTCTGTTCTACGCTCTCGCATGCATTTCACAGTGTCAGTCCTTCAACATGGATGTAGTTTGGGCAGCAGCGACTGTGGTGCTTGCGGAGTTATGGCTGATGCTTGGCGCATCCCATGCACCCCAGGCTCTCAGTCATCTTTATAAGGTGCTTCCTATTGTTCTCGGCCATGGCGGACTAGAGCTTTGCGGACGGACGCATCTCTTGATTTTCAAGTGTCAGTCACATATCCTCACGAAAGATCGAGGTAAGCCTGTTTCTTCGAAGTTTCTTTCCTTTTTTCTTCATAAGCTCGTTGTTTACGTTTTTGTAGAAAGAAAGAAAGGGGAAAAGAAAAGAAACGAACAAAGGCCTTATGGTCAAGGCTCCTCCTCTTGGGACCATCATCACCCCCGCCCCCGGGCCCCCCCTTCAGCGGCCGTTTGCCTCTCTCGCTATGTTTTAGAGTCAAGGTTGTCTGTTGGATGTCTTCAACCCCCCCCCACCCCTCTGCCGCCATCCTGAAAGATAAATATTAAATAATAAATATCATTATGACATTATCTAATATCATCTTAATATTCCCCTCCCCTCCATCCCCCCAGTAGAAAGAAAAAAAAAAAAAAAAAAAAAAAAAAAAAAAAAGAACATGTTGAACAACAACAAAAAGAGAAGACCAAAGGTCCACAAAGCTGGTCCTCCTGGGTCGGAATTGCCAAACCGGGCCCAGGCACATGTCCGAGTCCGGTGAGAGAGTTTCTCTGTGTCTTTTCTACCCAATTGTCGTGTGGTCAAAGCAGAAGGTACGAAAGAAGGAAAAGATTGGTGTTGCATGCAGTTGTCAGGAAACTGTTAAGTACACTGCGAGAACAAGGTATTTTTGAAAGGAGACTGTATACCCACGGCAAAACATGGAATAGTCCCCCTGTTAAGTCATGCTGACATATTAAGATTCTACGATCAGAGAATACTTGGAATCCTGAATTACTACTCTTTTGTGGACAATCGATCATCATTATCGTCGATAGTTCCACAACTTCCACTTATTGAAGGAATCTTGTGCATTGTTGCCCTTTATCGCTTAAATATTGCACTAAGTTCAAAAGAAGCACACTGAAGAAACTTGTCTCTGTGTCTTTTCTAGCCTTTATGAAGGTCAGTAGAACTCAGATCTAGATGATTATAACATTTGGATTATCAACCTGAACCGTTTCACGGCATGGCAAATGTTGTTGCCCTCGTGCATTATTGGCCATCCGTACACGGTCTTTATCTAGGCGATCACGTTTCATAGTTAGGGTTTTTTTGCGTCATGTCATGTACGCTATTTGGTTTGCGCATATGCTTCCTCATGAACCAGGCCCTATCATGGTGACCGAGGCGTAGACATCACACTCTTGTCCTTGACTCATGGCATGGTGGATGTCGGTACTCGGATGTGTGTCTTCCCTTTCTTTCGTTGAACTGTGAGGGCACTGTGATCCCCACTGCAGTGTTTTCAGTGCATCGCGACTCGTGGAAAAGGGAAGAGAGACTGGGTTGGCATGCAACAAGGGAAAAGGGCCAAGGCCCGCTGCCACAATGCACGAGAAAACGGGCGGGTCTGCTGAAGTGGGGTGGCCACCCATGCCCACCACCACACAGGCAGTGCCAGGCACAAGGGTACATACCTCATACGCATACATGCTCACCCATCCACACACGCGCACAGATGCACCCATGCACATGCACACACACACAGTCAGACACATGCCACCACACACACACACACACACCGACGCACACACACACATGGGCTGTCTTGTCGATGAACTTATCTGTGGGTGGCCGCATTTTTTTTTTCTGGGGTGGGAGTTTGGGGTTCGGGCCACAATGTCTCTGTGAGGAGGCTCAGAGAGTGTTTGCTGTGGGTGTTAAGTCCCGCGGGCTGCTCTTTCGGAGCACATGGAAGAACGGGGTGCCTTGTAGGGTTTTTGAAGCAGTAGCGCTCCTTGTGTCACGTGGAGATCTTGTGGAATTTGGCATAGTACTCGCAATGGCCTCGCGGTAGCACCAGGACATCATCCGATTTTGCATGTTGTGCAGCAGGGGGAGGTTATATGGTACTCTTGGTGTTGCGTACGGGTCCTGCGGTGTATTTTTGATTTGTTGTGGCGTTGTAGGCCGGCGCAGAGCGCTCTCAATTTTTTTGTTAGACCATTGGCATATGTGGTCGGTGCTTTTTTGTTAGTGAAGCCTTTTGTGTTATTATTTGTGGGCGGGCGCGGAGGGCCCTCCAAGTTTGTTCGGACCTATGGCGGATGGGGTCGGTGCTTTCTTGCTGGTGGAGTCCTCTGTCTTAGGTAAGTTTCTTCTTGCCCTCCACCCTTTTATGGATCAAATAAATGTATGTATATAATTATTATAATACTATATATCGTCAAACAGAGATGCCCGGAAAACCGTAGACAGAGAGGGAGAACAGAGGACAACAAACGAGGGGCTGTGACAAACTGTTTCGTCGGAGTTTCGCCGACTCATCAGGAGGCTGAACCCTATATGTATGTGTGCAAGTGTGCCGCTTCGACGGGTGTGTGGGCACTTGGCGCTGAACCACAAAGACGTGGCCAACCTTGTGTTTTATATTCTATTGTCTATCTATACTTTTTCGTCATGGATGGTTTGTTATGATTTGCGGAGGAAATGAGAGAGACAATTTGGGGTGCTTTAACAACACACACACACACATACACACACAGAGGTACTACACGTTTCTTCTCTTCAAACTCCTTTTTAAGTTTTCATGGATGTAACTTTTTTTTTTTAACTAGGCTATATTTTCTCTCTCTATGTAACTAAGGGGAGAAACTGCCTGACCAAGCAATCAGCACTAGAATCAGCACTAGAATCTAACCCCTGGCGATGGATGGAAGGGACGAAGGCAAAGCCCCTGCCAAGACTGACCAAGGGGGGCAAGCCAAATATCTCAGCGGGTGAGCACGAAGCATGCCGCAGGCGGTTGTGGGGAATTGAACCCACAACCTCCTGAATGCCATTTCCTTGAAATTGTTACTCCTCCGTGTGCTTCTTTCTGTTGCCAGTCTTTTATTTTCCCCCCGACTGGGTCTTCCGTTCGCTCAGACAGAGAGAGAAAGAGGGAGAGAGATATGGAGAGTTTGCGTTCGCCGGCACAAGGTTGGGGAATCAACAGGTGAATTGGTCGGACGCTGGAACACAGGCACAGTGCGAGAGAGAGGAGGCTGAGAGAGAGAGAGAGAGAGAGAGAGAGAGAGAGAGAGAGAGAGAGAGAGAGGGGAGAGTCTTATATGTTTCTTTTTGTCATCTCCTTTTTCTGCTTGCAAGTTGTTTCGTGCATTTCTTTTTAAGTCCTTTCTCTTTGTGTGCTTTTTTTTCCTTTGAGCATGTATCGTGTTGCTTCGGCTGCTAATAAAACTGTTGTGGCCTTCCATGCATGTCTGTCTCTTTTCTTCGGGATAATTTGTGCTTGACAGTGTCATCGAGTCCTGAGAGTCTTCTAGGGCCACTTGCTTCGGCGGTGAAAGAATTTGAAGCAGTAGAGGTGGGTATCTGCAGTGAATATTGTTCTCTATTTCACTCTATTGGGTCTGTTACTAAATCCAAAGGTCGTCCATCCTGTGTAAAATGTACTCTTTGCTGAAACTGAAAGAAAGAAGAAGAAGAAGAAGAAGAAGAAGAAGAAGAGGAAATAATAGTTGATGCGTCCATGAGCTGTTGAAATACGGACCCAAGTTCGAATCGAGATGCAATCTGATGGACAGAATAAATAGATTCTGAATTGCCAGCCCATTGCCCTTTCAAAAAACGAAAAATAAAATAAAAAGTACAAAAATAAAAGGGCCTTTACCCGATATAGGCCTCAGGCCTTGTAAAAATAAAGCAGTATGGGCCTTGAAAAGGTAAAGCATTGTGAAAAGGTATCTCGCCAGAGCTCAGAAACGTGAAAGCAGGTCAAAGGTCAAGTTCTCTATCAACAGGCATATCTAA